TAATCAGAAGAAAAGGAGGGCTAGCTAGCTACTTTACCTTTCATATCGGCCATAATATCTAATGCTGGTTTAGGTGGGAGGGCAGCGAAGGCCTCTGCTATTCTTGTTCCTTGTGGAAAATGGCAAAGGGAGCACACACTCGTCCCCCATCCATTTTCCATTTGTTCAGTGCATACCTCCCAGGCCTGTTAGGCATCAGGAATGCAAGAAGAAGTAAAACACCCCCCAGACAACAGCAGAAGATGGGTGTATATACAAATACGGCCACCTGGTAAGGGTGGGCTCTAGCTGAGGTGTCTAGGAGTCAGAGGAACTCAGAAGACAAAGCAGAGGGCTTCCCTTGGACAGTTGTGGACAATTTCAGAGAGAGGGTGATAGGTGAGGGCTGGCTTTGAGGATGAGTAGGAGTCTACCAGATGGAGAAGGATAGTAGGAGAAACACTAGATGGAGACAAGAGCAAGAAAGAGCAAGATGTGTTCTGAGAATGGACATTACAGGAGCTCAGTGTGGCTATGGTCTGGGTTGGGCTTTACTTCCTTCAGCTAATGTTTATTGAGAATCTACTATGCGCAGGAAATGCAAATATGAGTAAGATGTGGATCATGCAGCCTTGCAGGGGAAATGGATGTATAACAGATAACTTAAATATAGTGCCTTGGTGCAGCATAGAAGTCTTTATAAGGCACCGAAGGGAACATGACAGGGGGGTGGCCAGGAATGGTTTTGGGGAGAAATGCCACTTCCTAGCTGTGTGACCTTGGGCAACATATTTAAACTTAATAATCTCACATTGTATAAAGTTTGAAACTGGAGAATGAAAACACTGTAGTTTTCTCATCTGTAAAGTTGGGATAATAAAAATATCTACTTTCAGGGCTGTTTTAAAGATTGAAAGAGTTTATACACATAAAGCGCTTCACCCAGTACCTGGAACAAAGCAAACACTAAATAACACTACTGTGATTGTTACTGAAAGAGGAGTGGGCATTAGGCAGGGGAAGAGGGTGATCAGGGGCAGTGGCCAGGTGGATTTTCTGAGAGGTGGGGCCTATTAAGGGCAGTAATGCAACTGGAAGGATGCTAGGGGACCTTTACTTAAAGCCGCTGTTTTTAGCACTGCCCTTTTGATCTGTAATATTTAGTTTCCTTAACTGCTTATTTTTCTTGAGAGAAAATGTCAGTTGTCCATATCAAAAAATATGCAGATTGAGGGGTGTCTAAAAGCCAGTCCTGCTCTTGGTTTCCAGAGGGAGGTTCTGGTTCCCAGGCCTTGGCTCAGCCCTTCTGCCTGCAGCCAGAAATAGCCAACCACAGGGCTGGGCAAGGGAGCCAAGTGCCCACTAGCAATGCTACCAGTCCCTGCACCTCCTCCTCACTTCTCACCAGCTTGGACGCCTTCACTCAGTGCTTCTTTGTCTGCTGTGCATCACTGTCCCCTCCCTACCACTGCCTCCACATGCCTGGGGTGCCCCCCACCAAACAAAAACACGACTGTCAATAAAATACAGCTCTTTTCTTCCTTGCACTTGCTCTGGGTGTGATCTCAACACCACCTCTTCAGGAAGGAGAGAGGTGAGATGGGAGGCATAGGGAGATAGTAGGAATGAATTGGAAGGGAGGAGGGGATAGTAAGACTTGGGGGGTGCCATTCTTTCCCCCAGGGGTTGGAGGAAGGGGCTCTGTTTCTCAATGCCCCACCTCATTACTTCCCACCACTGCCATCACCCCAGAACGTGTTCCCAGTTTTATTCCACCCATGTTTACTATCTCAGCCCACATGGGTGTATCTACGGCAAGCAGAGGCCATGTCTCCCCACCAGATGGTAACACCCCAAGGCTGGGGAATGCACCTACATCAGCAGACTAAGGAGCTCCCAGAGGGCAGGGAGAGCCTATGAAAGTGGTTCACTCTGTTTTAAAAACACAAACACATTTCATAAAAAAATTAAAATTAATGATCTCACATTGTATAAAGTTTGAAACTGGAGAGTGAAAAAGATCACCACAAATCTCTAATCCTAACACAAGATCTGTTTTTATTCTGTTGAATTTCCACAGCCTAGTAAAGTCTGATATATCAAATATCATTCAAATGTGGAATGGATTTATAAAAGGCAAAATACACAGAGCACTTACTATGTACCAGGAATTGTTCTAAGTGCTTCACATTTATTGACCCCTTGATTCTTTATAACAGCGTGAGCGTGAGGTGGGCATTTGATTGTCACCATCTGCATTTAGAAACGAGGTAACTGAAGCACAGACAGGTTCAGTGACTTACAAGGTCACACAGCTGGTAACTACAGGAGTTGAGAGTTAAACCCTGGTAGTCTGGTGCCAGGAACCTACCAGTATCGTTCTATTTTTTTTCTTATAATCATAATGCATAGGCAGGTTTATAAAAACTTTTTATTACTGGCAATTTCAAACATAAAAAAGTAGAAAAAAATGATATAAAAATGAATATAAAATAATATAAGGACTACATCTCCCAGCTTCAATAATTATCACCTCATGACCATCTTGTTTCTTTCATTCCCTCAAGTCCCTAGCCCAGATTATTTTGAAGCAAACCCAGTCATGATATTATTTTGTCCATATCTGCAAAAGATGAGGGCTTTTTATTTAAAAAAAAAACCAACATTACCAAAATACCATATTATGCCTTAAAAACTGTAATTCCTTAATATCATCAATTTGAATTATCAGCAAATTTCCCTGATAAATTAATTTAAAAAATATGTTTTAAAGTTTGGTTTGCTTGAATCAGGATCCAAATACAGCTTTTGGTTAACATTGCTTAATTTAATTGGTAAGTCTTTCCCTCTCCTTTATTTCTTTCAATGTATTTGTTAATGGAATTGGTGTTTGTCTAGTTTCCATTATTCTAGATTTTGCTGATTGCATCCCTGGGGAATGCTCAGAGTATTTTTTCCTGATCTTCTCATATAACCTAAAAAACATTTTCCCATACTGTCACATAGTTTTCACAACCATTTACTATATAGCTTTGTGTTACTCCATCCCATAAATATACCATCATATTTTTCTTGGGCATTTAGGTTTCTTTCAGTTTTCCACTACTATAAATAATTCTGGAATGAACATCCTCACACATTTTTACATGGGATATACTTCCTTAGAGTATGCTACTGGAAATGTAATTATGACTCCAAGGCCTGAGTGATTTTTCAGGCTGTTGGCACATATTACCAAATGTTTGTCCACAGGGTTGTACATTCTCAGGAACCTCATAAGAGTGCTGTCACTCATTCTGAACAGTACTTAGCCTATTCATGGCTGAAGGATGTTTGGCGAAAACATGGTAATTATGAGGGCAGAGAGCTAGAGAAGGAGAAAGATGATGACAGGAACTCAGGCTACATTAAGCAGAGAGAGATCCACAATTTACCACAGATGTAGAGTGAGTCAGAACTCTGTTCATTCCCATTGTGAAAAAAAAAACACTCGATAACAGGAGTTATTAATAGGGCATGACATGTCCAGTAATCTTTCCATTAGACGGTGCATTGCTCAGAACCTTTTTTGAGACATAGACCCAGTCTGGCTCATTGTCTCTTTACCAAGATGTGAGGAAAGTGGCAAATATCCAGAGAGCCCAATCAGTTTGATAGAGGATGGAAGTATCCCAGACAAAAGTCAAAGGCGTCAAAGAGGCTCACTTTGCGAAAAAGTAAAGACATCTTTTTTTTTTCCTCAATGCTGGGAGGTTTCTGTGGCAAGAACAATATTCAGTTGCTTGCTTATATCTTCAGAAGGCTTTCGCTAAGGAAAGGGGCTCCCAAGAGCCAGAAGAAACCTCTGTAGGATGCAAGGCAGAACTTTTCTCAGACTCAGGGGTAGTTATTTAGGTCTTAGGATAAGTGCACTTTGGCCATTGGCCTGGAAATATTTGAGAAGCTGCCTATTCTCCTGCTCTTTGTGGTTCAGATATCCACCTGCTTGGTGCCCATTGTGTTTCCAGGGGCCCCACTCCAGCTTTCTGACAACTGTTTCCTGGAAGTCTCCTGGAGATGGGTAAGTGAGGTCTGAGCGAAGTGCTCCCCAGATTCCCTTGGTCAACATTATCCCTCTCCCATCCCTTCACATTCATTTCGGGGTGTGTTTACAGCCAGTCAAGTTGGCATGTCATAACATCACCTGGTCTTGCTATTCCAGCCCTGCCATGCAGAGTGGATTCAGAAAGAAGCTGGGTTGGGGGAAGTGGAAACCACTCAAACGAGGCCTTCTTGGTAAAGTGGGGAGTGGACCTCAAGACCCATTTAGTTCAACTTCCTATAGAAATAGCTTTCTACCATGCAACAGGTACTTTACATATATTCTTTTAAATTCACACAACCTTGGAGGTAGGGTTTCACAGGTGTGAAATTGCAGACTAAGACGAACTATTTGACCAGGGTCACAATTCTGGTAAAGGAGTGTTAATGCTATGCCTTCCTGGCACCTAAATCTGTGCCCTTGCCTTTAGATCATGCAGAAGTGAAAACTGCTGATCAGAGAGGTGGGGCCTCCCACCCAAAGCCACACAAGCTAACTGGGACTGGAATTCAGCCTCCTACCTATTCATCAAGGACTTTTCCCAAAACACGCAGTGGGGCTGAGGATGTGGCCTGGCCCAGGCCATCCTGTATCAGGTGTAAATGAGGGGTAGACAAACTCTGGACAAACGTTGCCCGTAAGCTGTGGTCTCTGCCCTCCAGACTCATCATAACCAACGTCGAGAAAAGCCCGCTTCCCAGAAGACCCAGCACTGGACTGGGCTAGTCGTTTTGGGGGGAACCAATCTGCGGCCAGGGCGGAGGCAGAGAGGTGTAGAGGAGAAACTCTGACTGGGGGTCAGCATCTCTGGCCCCAGGGTCCATGTTGGGATCCAGTTATAACAAGTTACTTAAGACTCTTGAGTTCCCTCATCTGCAGAACCGAGCAAGAGTAAGCCACACTTGAAGCGCGAGGTCACAAAAGCAGGGTTGTTACTCACCAAGGCAATGCCATCTGATCTTAGTATTGCGTCCTATTGAAACGTTGGCTGTACAGCCCCAGCAAAGCGGGAGCAGGAGAAAAAACTACAACTCCCGGGAGGCACGGGAGTTGGTGGTCAAGGGGGCGGGGAGAAACTACAACTCCCAGGAGGTATCGGGGGGGCCGGCGCTGGGCGGTGACGTCGCGGGGGCCGGCGCGCGCTGATTCGGCCGGACCTGCCAGCGGGGTGGCTGTCTCCGCGCGTTGTTCCAGCTGCTGGAGCAGCCGAGGCCCCCAACCCTGGGCACCCCTCCCGGGCCTTCGACCCCCGGCCCTGCACAGTGAGTCCGGACAGGTCGCCGAGCCGGGAGCCTCTTGGGGCTAGAGACGGGGCGAGAAAGGAAGTGGGGGCTGCTGAGGAGGCGCCCCCGGCTGGAGGGGGCCGGGGCAGGGTGAGCGAGGCGGGGGAGGAGTGCATCAGCCGAGGGGATGCCCAGGGCGGGAAGTGGGGACGCGAGACCGGGGAAGGGGTGTCGGGGAGGAGCTCTCGGGCTGGGGATGGTGGGTGGGGAGTGGCCAGGCTTCGGGGATAAAGGTTTGGCAGCCTCCAGGGATGAGTGAACTCATGGAGGTGGGGGTGGTGCTCCGAACCGGGCCAGGCTCCGAGTGCCAGGTCCCAGGCTGGAGAGCGGAGCGGGAGGCCCCTCCCTTCGGCTGGAGGTCCCGCTCAGAAAACTCCAACAATAGTGACGACTGCCTCCTTGCTTCGCCTTCTCCCAAGGCTAGTCGGGGTTCGCCCGGTACTCGCCGTCTTTCTATTTCCGCGGCCCTCCCGAGTTCAGGAGGCAGGGCCAGAGCTGAGAGGTAAGCAACTCTGGTCCTGCGGGTAAAAGGGTGAGCAAGAATGAAAATGGCATTGTGGCGCGCTGTCAGGGACTCCCCGTTGGGGCCTAGGTTGCAAGCTTGGCTGTTTTGTGCTACCCAGAAGGCAAAGGTTTGCTTCTTAAACATCTGTCCTAACTTGCAGGAGGGAATGGAAAGTGCTCCACTGGCAGCTGCCCTGGGGCGCACTGTGGTCTTAGCTTAGGTGTCTGACAGACAGGCTGGGCACGGATATTTGTGTGTGGAGCCAGCGGGGAAGAGAGGGAACGAGTAGAAAAGAGTTATCAGCAAGAAAGTAGTTAACACAACAGAGTTGCTGCAGGCTCTGGTTTGAGGCAGGTTATGAAACCACATCAGCGACTGGCATGGGCAGCCACCTGCCAACTATGGCAGCAGAACTTTTCAGCCTCAACTGCTGTGAACCTACTCTAACCTCTTCCAGCTTCTTCTCTCCATGTCTCCCCTTCTGGTTGGGGTGGGGGGAACTGGTTATTTTTACTAATGGAAGTGATATGTTTAGTCACCCAAAAGTCTCAGGAATGCTTCCTGGCTGCCAATCTTTTTCTTAGTTTATTGGTCTTTTCTGTTTTTTGGGGGTGGAGGGTCTCCTTGTAGTTCTACAGTCAGGGCAGCTGGTGTTCAGGCTCCAGGAAAAAGTGTCCTTAGGTATCCATTAGGTCCTAGGTTTAGCCTCCTCCTGGACTCATAGGCTTCATTGGATTCCCTGTTTCAGCCAAAAAGGAGTGTAGGGTGATCTGGGATTCAGCGAGGCTCTTGGCACTCCCTGAAAAAATAGCAGGCAGGGCTAGTGGAACTCTACTCCTACATCCGTGTGGGTTAGGGAGAAGTGGGGAGGGGCAGCAGTTGGTCAGACCTGGGGAACTTTCTCTCTCCTTAGTCAGTAGTATGTCCTTCAGAGCCCTCTGTTGCTAGTCAGCTCACCACCCATCTCTCCCTCTGCCAGGTGTAGGTGTCCCAGGAGCAGTGTTAGGGTAACTGAAGTCCCAAGGCTCTGGGAAGGTAAACAACTGAGCCAGTCCAGTATTCTGGTTCCTTGGGTTTCTGTTAAGCCCAATTATCCAGCCTAAAGGGCTCAGCTGATGTGCTCCAGGAGCATCACTTCTTCTCGGATGTGCCCTGGACCATCTTACATATGTTTGCGTGTTGGGAAGGTGTGTTGTGGGTCATGTTTTTCTTGAGATCTCTTAAGCTTGGAATTGTATGAGAAGAGGAAGCTTGTTGTCATTACCCTGAAAGTAAGGAACTGATCCTTGAGAATTCTGGTTCCTTCTCAGGCATGATCGTGATCCCAGCCAGAGATAGATAGCAGTTGAGCCTGAGGGGGTTCATTGAAGCAGGCTGAGGGAGGTACTTCCATGATAACCCCATCTGGGACCCTTTTCTGCATCCCCAGGAAAGATGGCGCTGTTACCGTAGTGATGACCTTAGGGTTTTTATCAGGCAGGATCTCCCCTCAGTTAGGGAGGTGCACCAGTATAAAGGCACCATCTGTTCCCACCCCTTGCTGGTCACAGAGCCCTCAGGGATCTGGGGACAGCTGAGCTCTGGACAAGGGGATGCCCATTCCCTTCATTACCTGCATCCAGGAATACAGCTGGGTTGCATTGTTCCCTAGGCATCAAGGGCAGCCCTGCTTCGTCCTGTTGCAGGGCTTCCGCCATTGGAGCTGGGCAAAGGAGGGCATGCTGCTAACTTACACTTGGAAACAACTACTGGGAAAGGAGGCTGAGATAATGATGGGTGGGTCAGAGAGGAAAGGGCTGCAGATGGGATTTTGTATCCTTGGGAGGGGTATGTTGATTTGGGTTCCAGTTAACTGTGGGAGCTGTGGATGTTGGCCATGTCCTCTGTCCTCACCTCACCAGAGGGTGGTTTGGCATCAAAGAGGGTTAGCCTGAGTGGCAGCCAAATGGATAAAACTTAGGGATGGATTGTGTCACCAAGGAGGAGGCTTCCAGATCTGGGCAAAGGTTGTCCCTAGTCTACTGCTTTCTCTTTTCTTTCCTCCCTCCCCCTTTCTACCCTGTCAGTTCTCCTGGGTCAGGGTTGGGGGAGCCTTGGGATTGGAGAATTAGGGGAGATGGGTAGAAGCAATGACCTCCAAATACTTCATTCACTGCCGTCTGTTCTCAAAGCCCCTCTCCCCCTCCTTTTTCCTTCTGTCTGGTGGGGGCATGGTGCTCAGGGGTGGGAGATGTCTCATATCAGGCCCTCAGCCAGACAGTCCAGCAGAGGTTATGCTGAATGATTCCAGGAGGACAGGCCTCTTGTCCGCTCCTCTGGGCTTTGTGGGAAGAGGGCCCTCAGGCAAATGCTCTGGAGGATGAGAATGGGGCATGGGCGGTGGTCTCTTTGCTGGGAATTGGATACCTGTTGATGAGCTGTCCCTCCCCAGGCGGTCTCAGTGCCTGCAGGGGCACTTTCCTGCTTGGATGATGGGATGGGGCAGCCTGGTTTTCATCCCAACCCAGCAGTGGGAAATTTGAATAGACTTAAGTCCACATGGACTTTCTCTGGCTTCATTACTTGAGAATCAAAACAATAGAACTGCAGGGAGAGCAGAACCTCCCTGCCTGTAAGATTTGGAGGGTGTGAGGGGGGAGGGAAAGTGGTGTGACCTGTCTCACCTGTGCTGCTTGTCTGCCAAACAGCAGCAGGAAAGGGGCAGCAGGATGAATGTGGGCACAGCGCACAGTGAGGTGAACCCCAACACGCGGGTGATGAACAGCCGCGGCATCTGGCTCTCCTATGTGCTGGCCATCGGCCTTCTTCATGTAGTGCTGCTCAGCATCCCCTTCGTGAGCGTCCCTGTCGTCTGGACCCTTACCAACCTCATCCACAACATGGTGAGGGCCTGCCTGCTGCCTGCCCCAACTGTGTGGGCTGCTCTTTGGTGGGGCAGAGGAGTGGGGGGACACCCCCCAGACATGGACCAGATATCAGGGTGACATGCTGACAACATCTGTTACCAGAACCCAGACCCAGCTTTCATTTCTGTCCTACTCCCCATTCTGGGTTTAGCCGATAAGAGGGATAAAATCTGCAGATTTGTCCACATCTCAGGATGGGGTGGCTTTTGGACCTGGAAGGGTGGACCACTGAGAGCTGAAGTAAGGGGCCAAAGAGTCCCCAGGACCCAGGTGCCTCGCCTGGAGCAGAAATGCCTCAGTCCCAAGCTCGGATATCAAACCATTGCTGTTTTTGCCCCTTTATGCTCTCTCACCACCTGCTTGCTACTTTCTTAGTGGGCACGCAGGGGCCTCTCACCTAGTGGGTCCCCTTATCTTCCTGCCATGCTCTCCCCTGCTCCATCCTGACCTCCAGCCCATGTCCCCATGCCCAACAGAAGGAAGCTGCCAGGCAGCCTGAGCCCACTTCTCTTGCTGAGCTGGAAAGCCTTTTGCCTTTTGTGTCCTCTAATGAAGGCTCTTCCCTCCAGGGTATGTACATCTTCCTGCACACGGTGAAAGGGACACCCTTTGAGACCCCGGACCAGGGCAAGGCGAGGTTGTTAACTCACTGGGAGCAGATGGACTACGGGGTCCAGTTCACTGCGTCTCGGAAATTCTTGACCATCACACCCATCGTGCTGTGAGTGCCTTGGGTAGAGGAGGGTGCCAGCAGGCAGGCCAAGACCTGGGGGACGCTGGGGCCCCACAAGGCTTAAACCCTTCCTCAGCTCTGGCTCTGCTATTTTTTTGGCATAGAAATGAGCAGAGGAAGGAAGTTGGAGTATCTCTGGGTTTTATGCAGGGCTTGGGCCTTGTACCTCCCTGGCCCAGTGTTTCCTCAAATGGGACTTCCTTCCTGCCAGTGAGGTAGGCCCCCAGGCCTGGGGTAAAGCAAGGGGACTGGATCGGGAGGGACCTCTTTAGCCGGTGAGATCTTGCCACCCTACTTCTGTTCTGGGGGTCTGTCCCGTAACTACTTGGCTGCCTCTCCCCACCTAGGGAGCGAGAGAGGAAGGGGTCCTCCAGACAGAGTCTTAAACCTCTCTCTGACCTTCCCCACCCAGGTACTTCCTCACCAGCTTCTATACCAAGTACGACCAGATCCATTTCATCCTCAACACCGTGTCCCTGATGAGCGTGCTCATCCCCAAGCTGCCCCAGCTCCATGGAGTCCGGATTTTTGGAATCAATAAGTACTGACAGTGCAGCCCCATCCCCGCCCAGGATGGCAAGGGAGGGTTGGAAGCCTGCGCTGTGATGCTGAAGACGGAAGGACCCTCTGGATACTGCCAGAGATGGGGGTTGAGCCACAGGTCCTAGTGTCCCTCCTCACTTCCCCCAGTAGCCCACTGGAAGTAGCTTATAGTGGGGTTGGGGTGCTCTGATCCCTTCTGCCAGGGGGCTCTGATCCCTTCTGATTTTTTCGATCTTTTCCTTTTGCCTTTGGGTGGAGACTGCAGGGGTGGTCATGGAATGGGCTGAGCTCCTGGGCTGAATACAGACCTGTGAGGCTGGGACAGGAGGCCAGGGGAATCCCTGTGCACTTGTTCATCCTCAGACTGCTAAAGCACTTTAACCCCGGCAAGGGGAGCAGAGGGGACGGTACAGCTTCTAGATTGTTTCACTTTAATCCTTAAGTCTTTTACGTGACACTCAATGTGTGCTTGTATGGATGAAACCAAGTGCGTGACGGTGCCTCATCCCTCTGGGTAGAGAACTGGTCTACCCAAGATTTACGCTTTTGGCAGTATCCCTACAGCTCACCCTAGGTACTGGGTGGGAATGGTAAGGAGGGGGCTGGTCCCAGAGGTGAGGGGGCCAGGGCCGCTGCCATTCTGGCCCTGTTGTGGGGGTGGGGGTTGGGGTAGGAGCAGGGATGGTGAATTGAGACTTAGAAGAAGGAGGCCACAAAGCAGAGGGTGGTGTAAGGGTGGGAAGGTGGGGACAGAAGCTAGACCCAGTATCTTCCTTTGAGAAGTGGTCAGGGAGGGAGCAGGCTTGGAGAGTTAATTTATGCACAGCATAGTGATGTAATAGGAGGGGAGGCTGCTGTGGGTTTGAAGCTTCTAGGTTGGCATGAGGGGGTGGAGATGGGTGGAAGAGGCCCATGAGTCATCACAAGCACAGGTCCAGTTTGACATTGCTTTCTGCAGTGGCGCAAGGGGCATGGGGGAAACTGGGGCAGAAATGAATGGTGGAGTCCTTCCACAGCCCTTTACCTCTTAACCTCCTGGTGTAGGACCTCTCATTTGGCATGCGTATGTGGGACTGTGAGGCCATCCCCAAACAGGGTTGGTGGGCCGCAGAGTCCTGCATGGTCTCTGCTTCAGCAGGGTAGTGGCAAGAGAAGTGACCTGCAGGCGCTGCCTCCTCAGTCTTAGGGGAAGAGAGGTGGGGCAGGACCTTAAGCAGGGCTGGAGAGGAGCTGCCCTCTCCCCTCCCTAATCTGACTAGGGTCTGTGTCCCCTCTCAGGGCCCTGAGAGAGAAGGGAGCTCACTGGCCCTGTTTTCTGCCTCCTAGTCCTTCCAACTCCCACCCCATGTATCATAGGGAACGTTCACCTCAAAATCTTTCTAAGCAAAGTGTGAATAGGATTTTTACTCCCTTTGTACAGTATTCTGAGAAATGCAAATAAAGGACAGTGTGTTCCTGTTTCCCCTGAGTCTGGCTTCTGCTTCCTGGAGAGCCCTGGGGAGGGGGGCCGGGGTGTGGGGGCATCACTGTGACCCTCTCTCTGGATAGGGGGAGGGGCCTGGGGCTGCTGCTCTTACTGCCCCCAGCAGAGCATGCCTGCAGGCTACGGGGGAACTGGCAGAGGCAGCAGCAGTCCAGAGAGGAGAACTCTGCGCTGTGACCTTGCCTGGCTGTTCCTGAAAGAACTTACACGTCTGGGCTCCACAGGCTGGCTGAGCCAAGCTGGGCTGGCACGGGGTGGTTTGTGCCACAGACAGGGAGGGCATCAGTCCAGCCCTGGCTTCATAAATGAAGCTGGAGTTGTTAGGGGGGGCAAGTCCTTTCCTCCAAATGCCTTCCCCCATTCTCATTTCTCTTCCCCCAGTGCAAGGATCCTTGCCTGAGGCCTGTGTGTCATGGCCTTTCAGTCTTCAGAGGAATCTTTATGCCTCCTCCTCCCCTCCATGAGTGGGAGGGGAAGAGGTAGCCCCCCAGGACTTAGTCTGGCATGGCCAGGAGAGGGAGGAGTCCTTTAGTGAAGTCCTTATCTCAGGTCCCGGCCTTTGGTCATGCTCTGTCCAGTACCATGTGCAATTTCTGGGACAGGTACAAAGTCCCAGGGAGAAGGGAAGAGCTGCCCACCCTCCTCCTGCGGCCTCTGCTCTTCTCTGGCCCTGGTGCAGTAATAGTGTCCTTGAGTGGGTGTCAGGAGGAGTGCAGGATCTTTGCCCAGGTCCACCCTTTCCACCCTCTGCCCGCCCCTGAGTGAGGCCTGTACAGACGGGGAGGAGAAATGCAGCCACCTGGGTTCATATCTGGGGGTGGGAGTACCCTGGCAGCTCCCGTGGATCTGCAGGAGCACAGTCATGGGAAGGGTATGGAGCACATCAAAAATAGTCTGGGTTTGAATCCCAGCTCTGCCACTTTCTAGCTTTGTGGCCTTGTCAAGTTTCTTCCCTGAGCTTCAGTTTCTTCCTCTGTTGTTTAATGTTAACACCTGTTAGGGCTGTTGTAAGGATTAGTACACCTGGCGTGTAGCAAATACTTAATATATGGTGGCCATATCAGTACTATTACTATTGTTACTACCACTATCATCTCTTTAAATATTCTTTTGGAATTGAGGAAGGCATGGATGAGAAGACAGGCTGGGCTCACTGAGATGGTCATCTCTGAGGACTGATGGGTGGGGCCGGAGGCTTCTCCCTGGAGAAGGAGGTGGGGGAAGACCTCAGTTGGTGCCATCTCTCTGAGAGGGCTGCACGGGAGCACATGGTGGGGAGGGAGGCTGAGTCCTCCTTACTGACCCAGACTTTTCCCTACGTGTGTTAGCTGCTGTTGCTCTCTGAGTCTTTAGTTTTGCCCACCATAGCAGAGCTTTATGGAATAAGGCTTATAGGATAGCTGCTTCTGGCTAGATCACTCTGGCTTCGTGTCACTGGCACAGCCATAGCCATTTCCTGCTGGTACTGGATTGGTACTTACCCATACTCTTATTTCTTTGTTTCAAACTCACTGGATTGCCTGGCCCACTGTGCCTCACTCTGCACCATTCTCTGGCCCAAACTCACCTAGTATCGATGTCAGGTGAATATATATACATAGAAAATATCCCACCCGCTCTGTGGGCCTAAGAAGAGAGAAGGGTTTCTTGCTTCTGGCCTTAATCTGCCTCCAGCCCAGCCATAATGTGGCTTATCTAAATGCCTGAGAGGTGGGGCACCTAGCCTTACTCAGCTTTCTAGTTCCTTTCAATTTCTTTATTAGAGCTTCCTGAGACTAGCCAGGAATGTGCAGAGATCTTACAGAGGGGATTCTCAAACAACCTGCTTTTCTGGTGAGTAGCTGAGGACAGAAAGGAAGTGGGCGGCCACTGAGATAGGCTCGTGGGCCCTGGGCACTGCCTTCCCAGACACCCAGAAGAACTAGGTCGGGGGTGAGCTGAGAGCTGGCCACCATGACGGGAGCAGGGACAGAGAGGCACTGTGGGTAAGTAGGTGCCTGGGCCAGCCAGAAGGGACCTAGGGGAAGGTGGCCAGAGATGGGACAGGGAATTGGAGCCTAGGAAGCTTGTGAGGGGAGGCCTGGCCCTAGGAGGGAAGCAAAGGACCCTGAAGAAAGGGGAAGCGATCTCGAAGGAGTTTCAGAGTAACTGATGGAAAGGGAAAGAATGAGAAGGATGTGGAGGTAACAGAGCCTGAAGGGTCCAGTGGGGTGGGGACAAAGAGCTGCTGAATAGAAATGGGGAAGGAGCAGCTGTGTCAGCTGGACCTGGAGAGGCCTGAGGAGGGTCCTTCAGGATAGGGAGTTACAGAGCTACAGGGGCTGACTGTAGACCAGAAGAGGGTGAAGGGGAGAACGGGTCAGGGGAGATGCCCCAGGTGGGGTTTCGGGATTCATTTTACCAAGTGTAAGGGGACCTTCAGAAGGTGGCCATAAACTGAGGGGGCAGGGCTTGGTGGTAGGGGGCTGTTCAGGGCACCAGCTTGAAACTACTCTTGCATTCCCTCCTTTTTTTCTGTTTCCTTCTGAGGCAGACTTACCACCATCTTGTTGGGAAATGGTCGGTAGAAGCACCCACCCAACTGCCTTGGAGAATATAGCAAAGGGAGGGAGTCCCAGGAGTGAGAGCCGAGGGGAGAAGCCATCAGCCGAGGTTGGGACCATGAGGTCTGGAAGCCATGGCCTTGGTCTTCTGTCCTCAGCACTGGTGAGGGTCTGGCTGCGAGATAGATGGTGGGCCTGCCTTCCCACGCCTCAGGCCCCTCTGAGCAAAGGGGCAGCTCTGTTATGGGGGTGCAGAAATAGGACTCACTTCCTGTTTGGAGCAAGCACTGCTCCCCATCTTTCCTCTAGAGAACTCCGTGAGGGGCAGAGGAGTCTGGTGTTGGTGATGGTCACCCCTCCTCAGTGTGCAGTGACTACCTCACCTACTAGAAACAGGGAAGGCAAAGTCCCGGTTGTCCTAAAACCTTTAGATCTTCCAGGCTACCAAAGGTAGATTAAAAAACCTGAACCAATATCCCCCACCCTCAAACTGAAATTGACTTCCTTTTCCCAGTTGACCCAGGTACAGTGGCCAGTGTATTTGAGAAAGTCACAAGAGTTGTGGGCCAAGAGATGGATGCTGGAGGGGATACGATTGCTGTCAGAAGTATTATGGATGCTGACAGACTTCACTGCTTAAGTCTTGTGAAGAAGAGATTTATTCCGATGCTGGCACTTCAGGACAGGCTTTGTCTTGTAGGACAGAGTGGAGAGAGAAGAGGGTGAAGGGCTGTTTGATAATCTGTATTCTGGGCTCCGAGGTGAATATGAGGTGGGTGGAGATGGCCAGCCAGAGGACTGGCCCACTCCTTCCCCCGACTCTACTCCCCATTGCTATCAACCAAGTCAACCAGTCAAGAAAGAAACTGGAATTTGCATGTATACTTCCACACCCATCAATTTAAGAAATGCGTAAAAGAGCTGCTTGGGGAGAAGGCAATGGGGTAAGTGGAAATTTATTTTTATTGGACACAAAGAATTCCTAAATAGTCTTCCTTTCTTGTTTTTTTCCCTTTGTAAATAATTCACTTTTAAATTAGCTGAGGTCCTCCCATTTATTTACTTGTTTACCATTTAAATGGATAAATAAATGGAAGCAGTAGAAAGGCTGCTGGCTTTAGAGCTCGGGGCATCTGGTATCTAAGCCTGGCTCTTTCACTCACCAGCTGGGTGGCCTCTGGACTGATTGCTGTATCTCTCTAAGTTTGTTTCCTCATCTGTCAACTCGAGAAGACTGTTGCAAGAATCAAATGAGATGAATTGTGTAAGTCATTTATACAGTGTCTGCACAGAAAAAGCGCTCAGTAAGAGTTAGCCCCAGTCATTCTGCTGGTGGCAGTCATTATTATTACCCCTTCATGTTTCCTGGAGATCATGACCAAATGGGATGCTGTTAGTGAGCAGAACTCCCTAAGAGCATGAAGGGAATTACAGAGGAGTCTACTCCATCCCCCCGCCTCCAAGATCAGCTATTCCTGAGGTTTCTTGGGTTTCAGAAGCCCCAGAGTAAGTGTTGCTGAACCCTTATTGAAGACTGCTCTTAGTATCTTGTGACTCTTGGTAAGGAGTTTGACACCTCAGACATCTCTACTGTAGCCCATTGGGTCTCACCAAGAGATGAAAAAAATTCTAACACCACCGAACAGCTTTAGAGCACCTGCCGTGTGCCAGGCATGGCTGTTATGTGACCAGGAGCAGGGCTCAGATTACTTGGCAGTGGCAGGCCTTTCCATAAGTGGAGTTTAATTAAGCAAGCACGGGACTTGAGGAAAATTTCATATCGGCATTTTTGAAAGATTCTGAGTCAATTCTCTGAAAAGCAAATTGCCAAAGAGCCAATTGCTAAAAGCTAGTACTCAGAAAATCAGCTTGCCAAATAACCAGTTCACTGAAAACAGAAAAAAACTTTAAACAAGGACTAAGGTGTTTTGCCATGATCGTATCACTCCCCAGGAGCAGGGGCAAAGAGTAAATATGGGGAAAAAATATTGACTAAATCAGTTAACTTCCTTTAAGGGAAAGCCTGTTTGCTTAAAAAACTCAGAGGCAGATGTAAAATCAAACTTAAAAAAAAAATCCTTAAGAATGACATGGATTGATAATTTGAATTGAATCCCTTTCAAGTGGATTATTTGTTTTTAAACTGTACAGTGCTGATGGTGTGGTTAAAGTATTCATAGGTTTTTTGTTTTTTTTCAATTTACTTTACTCGGACTATCTTAGGTTTTACCGAATGTCCTTTTTCTGTGCCAGGATCCCACATTACCTTTAGTCTTATTTCCTTAGGCTTCTCTTGGCTGTGACAATATTTCAGACATTCCTTGTTTTTGATGACCTTGACTGTTGGGAGGAGTATCGGTCAAGCATATTGTAGGGTGCGTCTCTGTTGGAATTTGATTTTTTTCTCATGGTTAGAATGAGGTAATGGGTTTTGGGGATATAAAATGCCATTTTAATCATCACATCAAGGGCACATACTGTCAGCATGACTTACCATCGTTGATGTTGACCTTGGTCACCTGGCTGAGGTAGTTTTTGTCAGATTTCTCCAGTGTAAAGTTACTCCTTTTTCCTCTTCTCCATTCTATACTCTTTGTTGGCATAGGCTTGATTTTTCTTTTCTCCCTGATAAAATACACTCACTTTGACAGTGCTCAAGACACAAATGAGCCCTGAAACATTAGTGTCACACACACAGGACTGAGTTCAAGTACTGCTTCCAATTCTGTCACATTTCTGTCAGTTCCAGAATGCGTTTTTCTCTGGAAATCCAGCCCCATCCCCAAAGCCTAGCAGTAGAAGCTCTCTCTCCTCTGTAGGTTCATACCTGGGAAGTCTGAGAGACAGGCACTCAGCCTGGCGGCATCTCCACACGTGTTCTGCTAACTCTGGGGCAGCAGCAGCTGACTTGGAATCAAGGCCCTCATGAAAGCACCTGATCAGTCTAGGCAGCGTCCACGTGCATAGGCAACTTCCCAGCATTGCCTCGTTTTACATCTGCATGGTTTACACAAACACCAGAGATGGATCTCTGCTTAATTCTTATTTCCTAATTGGCAGGAGCTCCTAATTCTTTAGCTTTACTTATCCTTGTCTCATTTCAGCCTCTCAAATAGTTAAATAGGACAAGCTCACATTTATTGAGTATTTAGTGTGTGTGTATGTGTGCCAGGCACTTTGCTAATGCTTAACTGCATTATTTTATTTTCTCAGTCACTGGTAATAGATACTATTAATATTCTCCTTCGATAGATGAGGAAACAGATTCAGAGAGGTTAATCAATTTATCCAAGGTCTTTTGGTAAGCATATGGCAGAGCAGGTTCAAACCCGGGATCGTGTGACTGCTGAGACTCCTGGTGAGAACAGAGTTTCCTGTAGATCCACAGCTGGAGGGCTTCCTCAGGAGGGAAGGGACTGCAGAGGAGAGCCCAGGAGGGGCTGCTCCAAGCAGGGGTTTCTGTAGAGAGATCTTTTGGGTCGGCCTCAGTGTGACCTTCACCTTTCTCTTTCCAGGTCCAAATGCTGAGTTCCAAGTTGATGTGGTAGACTCAAAGGGAAGTTTGAAAGTGCAATTACCAAAAGAAATAACAACTGAAGGGAACTTCCAAAGGTCTGGGAAGCCGAGAATCAAGATACCAGAGTACTGGATACCCCAATAATATCTGGATTCCCTTGACAACAGGTAAGGCTAGAGGTGGGCAGCAGTGAGAATGGAGAGAGAGAGAAGCCCATTTAGGGCCCCACGGGCATCTGCAGTGGGGTGCTCTGACTGGTATAGCCTCTCACTCCCTACCTCCGGCACTCCCCCAACCCACTCCCTTAGTCAGGCACGCTTCCTTTTCTCCACTTTCAGGAAGCCGCCTCATTCTTCCAGCATCAGCCTCCAGGAAACCTTCTGACACCCGTTCACTCATATCCCTGCTGACTCCCAGGATGGTAGCTGACTTGGAATCAAGGCCCTCATGAAAGCACCTGATCAGTCTAGGCAGCGTCCACGTGCATAGGCAACTTCCCAGCATTGCCTCGTTTTACATCTGCATGGTTTACACAAACACCAGAGATGGATCTCTGCTTAATTCTTATTTCCTAATTGGCAGGAGCTCCTAATTCTTTAGCTTTACTTATCCTTGTCTCATTTCAGCCTCTCAAATAGTTAAATAGGACAAGCTCACATTTATTGAGTATTTAGTGTGTGTGTATGTGTGCCAGGCACTTTGCTAATGCTTAACTGCATTATTTTATTTTCTCAGTCACTGGTAATAGATACTATTAATATTCTCCTTCGATAGATGAGGAAACAGATTCAGAGAGGTTAATCAATTTATCCAAGGTCTTTTGGTAAGCATATGGCAGAGCAGGTTCAAACCCGGGATCGTGTGACTGCTGAGACTCCTGGTGAGAACAGAGTTTCCTGTAGATCCACAGCTGGAGGGCTTCCTCAGGAGGGAAGGGACTGCAGAGGAGAGCCCAGGAGGGGCTGCTCCAAGCAGGGGTTTCTGTAGAGAGATCTTTTGGGTCGGCCTCAGTGTGACCTTCACCTTTCTCTTTCCAGGTCCAAATGCTGAGTTCCAAGTTGATGTGGTAGACTCAAAGGGAAGTTTGAAAGTGCAATTACCAAAAGAAATAACAACTGAAGGGAACTTCCAAAGGTCTGGGAAGCCGAGAATCAAGATACCAGAGTACTGGATACCCCAATAATATCTGGATTCCCTTGACAACAGGTAAGGCTAGAGGTGGGCAGCAGTGAGAATGGAGAGAGAGAGAAGCCCATTTAGGGCCCCACGGGCATCTGCAGTGGGGTGCTCTGACTGGTATAGCCTCTCACTCCCTACCTCCGGCACTCCCCCAACCCACTCCCTTAGTCAGGCACGCTTCCTTTTCTCCACTTTCAGGAAGCCGCCTCATTCTTCCAGCATCAGCCTCCAGGAAACCTTCTGACACCCGTTCACTCATATCCCTGCTGACTCCCAGGATGGTTGATTACTGTGGCTTGGACCCAAACCTGCTGGCTTTAAGAGGCCCCCCTTCCCTGTTCTGTCATACTGAGTTGCCCCAATCTGTATTTCATGCTTATTTCACTCTGCCTTGTGGCAAGCCAGGGTTTCCATGTTCCTCTCCCTCACTGGACTAGGAACAACTTGTGACCAGAGGCTGACTTTACTATCCTTTCTGTATTTTTATCCCTAGCACACAGTAGGTACTCAGTAAGAGAACTGAAGTGAGGCACAGTGAAATCAAAACACCCCTGTAGAACATTTCTTGCACAGAAAGTGCCATCACCCCACTCCACCAGGGTGGTTTTGACAGTGCTCAAGACACAAATGGGCCCTGAAACATTAGTGTCACACACACAGGTCTGAGTTCAAGCACTACTTGCAGTTCTGTCACATTTCTGTCAGTTCCAGAATGCATTTTTCTGAGTACTTGAACCCAGTCTTCTGTGTGTGACATTAATGTTTCAGGGCCCACCAATCAAGTGCCACAGAGGTCTTGATAGCTGAGGGTATGGTGCTTCCAGTGGACTTGAAGGGGCATCACCAGCCTCCCCCGTCTTCCCATCTCTCTCCCAGGAGTTTTTCTTTTCTGGTGGGGTTGTTGTTTCCTTCCCTGGCTGGGATTGTTGTAAAGTGTGGAGCAGCTCAGGAGAACCGGCCCACCCTGTTCTCCTGGGATAGCCCTCCTTGAGTGGGGTGAGGTGGGTGCCTTTTGTTTTCCTTTTTAGTTAAAAACTGAAAGGCTGACAGTGAAAGTTTACTGGTCCTTTGAACTACCCTTCCCCACCCCAGTACTGCTAGGGAGGGGTGTTTGGAGTTTTTCTAAGGGAGCTCAGTATTTCCTAGAATGCTTGTTTCCAGGTTGAGGCTCTGTGGTGTGTGTATATAAAGCTGGAGGGAAGGGCACTGATGTGTAGAGGAAGGTCAGCAGAGGCAAGGATGTAGGTCTTCCTTGATGGTCTTTTGGTTGCAAATACCAGAAGTTCCATCAGGCTGTTTTTAGTCACAAAATGAATTGCCTTATGGAATCAGAGATGCCTCCTGGAGCCTAAGGATGGACAACTCGGCCAACCCCAGGAACCAGTGTGAGGAGCTGGAGCCCTTTCTCAGAGAAGAGGGTGTTGTGGGCTGGGCAGATGCCTATCTCAGTCCCAAGGGTTAGGCATGTTGTTTGAACTCAGTACAGACCACGGTTGGAATCCCAGCTCTACAGTTATTAGCTGTATGACCTCGTACCATTCATGACCTGTCTCTAAGCCTCAGTTTCCTTGTATGAAAAATAGATGCAGTTCTACCTACATCATAGGTGGTGGGGATCACATGAAATGACGTGTGAGGTATCTCGGTGCTGGCACATTGTAATCTTCTACAAATGCTAACGTGTTCGCTTCCCACTTCACATCCCTTTGCCCCCACAGTAGGTGATGGAAGCTGCATTGGGGGCATGTGTTCCTTGGTTTTCCTGCCCAGAAGCACTTAATCTCAAAAAGGAACTAGCTGGTGGAGAGGGAGAAATGTCACTGGGAGGTGGCACCCCTGAGATCCTGAACTCCCAGTGCTCCGTCCACTCCCTCCAGGAAGTTGAAAACTACCCACTTCATTACAGTCAGTTCAGACAGTGAGAAAAGATCTGTCTCTGGTGACAGAAACTCCAGAGGCAGCAAAGGAGCAAACCCTGAGAAGTGAGTGGCACCATTTCTATTGGAGGCCGATGGAGCTCATCAGTCTCGGCTATGAAGCCAAGGTTAGGATCCGGGAGACAGGGCCAGCCGTGGCCCACCCACTGCAGGCCGGGGGTGCCAGCCCGGGCTCTGCAGCTCTGCAGCTCTGCAGCTCTGCAGCTCTGCAGCTCCGCATCCAGATCTTCTTGAGCGATCTTGCCAGCAACTTGGCCTTCTTATGGCTTCTCAGGAAAGCTATCACTGAGTGTGGCACCACTAAATCCCCCCCTTTCCTGTCTAGTGATGCAGCTCCTAGGAGGCAGGAGGGCCGGAGCCACAGTGCCTGGAACAAAACAAGTCTTCACTAAGCATTTGTTGAATGAACAGTGGAAACAACAAGAGTTTTGGGGTCAGGCGGGCTAAAATTTCAGCTCTGCTAATGTTTTTAGCTGTAAAACAGGCTCACCTACTGACCCTCTTTGAGCCTCAATTCTCATCTGTAAAATGGGGACTCCCAGGATTGTTCAGGAGATAGGGCAGGATAACTACGTAAAGCATCTAGAACCAAAGGACAGTGACTATGGAGTAAAGCAGCTTATCTTCCCCAACGCGGAGGGGATAAGTAAGCAAGGCCTGGTGGGGGGAGGGCGGGCAGGAGACCCAGACACAGGAGCTGGGTGGGGTCAGATCAGCCAGGCCCTTGTCGCTGGGAGGGGGCTGGGAGGGGTCCTTCGAGCTGGAAGGCGGAGGGCAGTTCCAAGGAAGATGGGCGTTCAGGACCGGGAGGAAGGACTGAGGCTCTTTGCTCAGACACTGCTGACACATGATTTGCCCCACCAGCACGCTAATGCTGGTCCAGAGGTATTAATTCCCATCTCTCTCCCGGGATTTTTTCTTTTTTGGTGGGGGCAAGGTGTGAGGATTAGGGAGAGACTAGAAAGATGAACTTAAGAGCAAGAGAATTGGTCTTGTAACTGGTCTCTCTCTCTTTCTCTCTCTCTCTCTCTTTTTTTTTGGTACTAGTTTAGATATTTGTTTCTCAGGCAAAACAAAATCCTTTCCAGAGGGTGAGTAAGCTTCTGGGCCTCCTGTTCTTCATTTCAGAATGAGCGAGGACAACAGATGGCCTGGAATTATAGTTACTAGGGCTAAGAATGCGACAGGGTGCACCTGGGGGTGGGGAAACTGCAGCAAGGGCAGGAGAAAAATCCGCCTGTTGGAGGAGCAGGTTGGATTGCATGTTGGCCTAGGGTTTTTAGGCTCCAACAACTTTGACTTGCTTTGTCTGGGTCAGTGTGCTGGATCCTGAGGACACAGCCCTAACTGAAGTTTTACTGGCCTTGGAAGTGCAACTGAATTACCTGGCTGGTTCTCACAGGATAGCCCATGCTGTAAAAGGAGCACTGGAATGGGAGTCTTGGCTCTGCCACCCAATAGCTCTGGAGCCTCTGGAGCCATAGTTTTCTGGACTTGAAAATGAATGGGTTAGACTAGAAGATCCTTATGATTCTGAATGTGGCTTCTTCTGGAATTTCAGTCTTTCTCTGGATCCTAGAAGTGTTGTACTGTCTGAGAGGCCTTGGGAAGGGATAGAGAGTGGTCTAGATGTGGTAGAAAAACTTAAGACACTCCTGGAAGTTGTAGAAGTTAGAGATTCAGTCCTGGCAAGGTCTTGCTAGCTGTCAATCTGTCATTCTAAAGCAGCATAACAGAGGAGTCAGGAGTTAGATTCCAGTCCCTGTTCTGACCCAAATTTGCTGAGTGACTGAGGGCATGTTTTGCACCCTCTCTGGCTTCCGTTCTTTGATCATCTAGGCATAATCCCGTGGCTGCCTATCTCTGAGGATGTGGGAAGAGGTCTGCAAATATATAGTGCTTCGTCATTTACACAGTGATGAGGGTGCAGGTTCCCTGATACGGGCAGTGCAGTAAGGGCTCAGAATCCAGGAATGAAAACTTCCCTCACCGGGAAGAGAATGTCCATAGGGGGCTAGAGGTTACCTGAAGACTGTCTGAGTTTATTTTGCCTCTTTACAGAGGAGGATGGTGGTTCATCTTGCTTAGGTAAGAATGGGAGCCAGCTGTGTTCAGGGTGGCTGCACCCACTCTGGTCTCAAGGACCACAGCTCAGGTGGGGTAGCTGCATCTATGTGGGTGAGGGGGGAGGTTGGGGAAAAAAGGGTAGGGTGGTGACCAAAGCAGGTTTCAGCTTTAATCTACAGAGGTTGTATCTCCTCCAAATACACTGGTTCACACTAGTTATCTGTAGACATCACCTAAGGAGCTTTAAAACTAGTGGTGGCTGAGTCCCACCTCCATACATTCTGATTTAATTGATCTGGGGGTTTGGCCTGGGCATCAGGATTTTTAGTCACTGCCCATGTGATTCTCATGCACAGTCAAGGCTGAGAACCACTCCTCTAACTTCCTCTACTACTCCTGGGGTGGTCCAAAGACCACTTTGAATGGCAAGGACTAAATAAGCTTTGATTTCCTGGAGGTGGAGGAGAATTTGGGGTTGGTGTTAGACTTGGGGTGAGCTGGGGAGATGAAAGTGGGGTGAATGGCAGGCGATGATAGTAGATGTCTGGGGAGAAGGATGCTTCATTTTAACAGAGAAAGATTAGAAGAGGAGATACAGAAATGTGGTCTCTAGAAGAAAGTATGAGGCTCGCCTGGCTGCATAGGAAAGAATGCCATGATGGATTACTTAATCCGCTGTGGGCTCAGTATTAAGGACTATGGCCAAATATTTGCCATTTCTGGTGTAGTTCTTTATTCTTAGCTTTTACAGTCTGGTGGTTTTCCTTCCAGGTGGAGGCTCTCCTGGAACAGAACTGGGTTGAGCAGCCCCATGATGTGGGCCGTGACCCTGAAGCACGAATTCTCTGTGCCCTTATGTTGCTGTCTCCATCCTGCTGCAGTTGGGTGAGAAGCCTGGCTTTGTGTCCTCCTAACTGTATGTTAGCTCTTTAACCGTTCTCCCCACAAGCCTCTGGGTACTCTCCTCCCTAGTCCTTCCTCACCTGTACCCCCCATCACCAGAACAATATGTTTAAGACAAATAGCTGCTGTTCTTTGATACACCATTCCCCCCATGATAATGTCTACAAATAGTCCTGGATTGTATGCATGGACTTTTGATTAAAAGTGGCAGATTGAGCATATCAAATTCCTCTCCCTCTGAAACCTCACTAAATGACATTAAACAAATAGAAAATAAAGAAACCCACAAGGATAAAGAGAATGAGGCAGAAGAATAAGAGATTTCAACACATCTTTGGAAGCCAGAAAATAATAGCAGGAGTGCAGGTTGGGAAGTGTGGGGCTGGGGGCAGAAGAGCACAGGAAAAGATTGCTGTTTTTGTGTCATATTAGTTCTATTCAATATTCTTAAGGCAATGTAACTAAAAGAAATATATACTTGTAAAGCATTTCAAATACTTCTCAAAGTCTAAGTCCACTCCTCCCTCTAACATAACCACTGATAACATTTTGAAGTATGTTAACATGCTTCCTATGCAACAGTTTTTAAAATGGTAACTTAAACAGGAAGGTAGGATGATAAAACATAAATTTGTATCTTTTGACCTAGTTATTTTTTCTTTTAAATCTATATAAGAATATTATATGCAAAAGGAATTCACATAAGTGCTGTTGGGAATATATGTTGGTCAACCACTTTGGAAAAGTGTTTGACAGTATCTACTAAAGCTACACATATGCCTATGACACAGCTACTCCACTTTCTAGGCATAGGCCCTAGAAAAATGAGTGCACATGTTCACCAAAAGAGAGTCATATACCTAAACATTAACATAGGAGCCCCAAGCTGAAAACTATATGTCCAATAAATAAGGATGGATACATATATCATAGTATATTTATGTAGCATTTTGCACAGACTTAATGCTAAGCAAATGAAGCCAAACACAAAAGAACATATATTTGTTTGGGTCCTCTGAGAAACAGGTGCCAAAATGGAATTAGATGTGCAAGACTTATTAGGGGAAAAGCCTGAGAAGAATAAAAGAGGAGGAAGCAGGAATAACAGGGGGGAGCAGGCATGGCAAGCCTTCACATCACAATGCAGGTCTAAAACCTGTGAAAGGAGAGAAGGAGGGAAGCATCAAGTAGGAAGAATCTCAGACTGCAGCACAGTAATCTCAGCCAAGCCACCCTGAGCACAGGTAGTCTACTGGAGAGGCCCCTGTCAGGCAGGAGTGGACAGGCGTTCACACTCCTGCCACACTCAGCCTTTGGTTGGAAGTAGCACAGGGAAGCTGGACCTCCAGAGTGGGAGTTAGAGGTTCTCAGTCGACCATGCTTCCTGCAGCAAGTTCCCCTGAAGAAAATCTGAATGATGGTACCTTCCATGGCCACCACAATACTGTATCCATTTATATGAGACTAAAAAACAGGCAAAACTAAGCAGTGGTGGTAAAGTTAAAATTGTTTTATGTCAGTGGGGACAGTGTCAACTGGGAAGGAGCCTGAGGGAGTCTTCCAGGTGCTGCAAATATATAAAGGTTCATTGCACTAACTTTTTTTTTATTAAGGTATTATTGATATACATTCTTATGAAGGTTTCACATGAAAAAACAATGTGGTTACTACATTCACCCATATTATCGTGTTCTCCCCCATACCCGACTGCAATCACTGCCCATCAGCATTGCACTAACATTTTAGATCAGTATACTTTATTACACATCAATAAAAAAGTTTTCATGAAAAGTACATAGTGTATAATTCCCTGAATGAGTGAAAAACAAGCAAAACTAATGATGGGGGTAAAAGAATTGTGGGAGCAGTGCTGCCTGGGAAGGGGCATAAAGGAATCTTCTGGGGCACTGGAAATATTTTATATCTTTATCTGGAGAGTGGTTATGTGGATGTTTACATGTGTAAAAATTTATTAAGCTATGCACTTCAGATCTAGGTGCTTTTAAGGTTTTTTACTCCACTTTATTTTTTAACCAATAAAAATTTTAATTTTAAAACATATACACACAAAAACATATTTGAACACTATACAAAGTATATAAAGAATATTTAAAAATAAAGAGAAAGTTGCCTGTCAAATCCCTTCACTCTATAGTCCCACTTTCTTTTCACAGCCATGGTTTTAGTTTTTGTTATTCTTACAACTAAAAGTGACATTCTTATATTTGTTCTTGACTCACTAATTTTAGGTAGCATGTATTGACTCTCCAGTCTTAAGGATGAACATTGGGAAAGACAGACGTTGAACAAAAAGTTCAAAGTAGGAAGAATGTTATAAAAAAAAATGCAGGGTAGTTATGAGAGTGTTCAATAAAGGGAGACAGGGTGGTCCCCTCTTACTTCTGCCATTGTCACCTTAATCCTTTCTTAAACTCTGATTCTAATCACATCAAACTATTGGTCTTTCCTTCATGCTTTTTTAAAGCACAGATTGCACTCTCCTGCCTGGATTACCTTCCCCACCTTATCTAAGCTATGGCTCAATTATCTCTTCCTCAGTAGTCACCCAGTTTCCCAAAGAATATGGTTTTCTTTATCTATATGGCCCTCCACATTGAATATATTTCTAACATTCATTATATAGTACTGATATTAACACGTATGTCTGCTACACTAATGTGAACGTTTCTGGGGAACAGGGCTTAAGTCTTTTCTTTGCTGGGGATCAGTAAACAACTATTTCCTTCAAAAGTGCCTTTGAGTTGGTGGATGTTTGGGAGACACATCCAGAATTTCATGAGGCTGGCTCAACCTCAGCACTCTTAACACGAGTGATCAAAATTTAAAAAGAGTGAACACATAGAATCAATTTCAAAAATGAAAAATGGACAGACATGCTACCTAAAATTAGTGAGTCAAGAACAAATATACAGGCACTAAAAAGATAAGAGAATATTAGGAACAAAAAGTTATGCTGACTTTTGAGATTTTAGATGAAATAAACACTATCATAGAAAAGCAGAATTCACTAAAACTAAACTAAGAAGAAAAAGAAATTATGAAAAAATCCTATAACCACAAAGGATGTTCAATAGTAAAATATCTTCCCACAAAGAAAATTCCAAGCCCAGATGGTTTTTCCAGTAAATTAAGCATTCAGGAATAAATAATTTCAACCTTATACAAATTTTCCCAGAGAAAAGAAAACACTTTGCAAGTCATTTATGATGCTAGCAAAACCTAACAAGAACAAGAGAAAGAAAAATGCAGGCCATGTATGTCTCACCTATGAACTTAGAAGTAAAAATAGGAAATAAATTCACAAACCAAAAGAGCAGCAAAATTAGCAAGCAGCAGGAAAGAGATAATACATCAAGGTAAAGTTAGATTTATCTAGGATTTCAAGGTTGGTTTACATTGGAAAATCAGTTTATATAATTTACCTCATTAACAATTTAAGAAGAAAAATGACAAGGTCATCTCAATAGATACAGAAAATGCACTTGATAAAATTCAATTTCCATTCATAAAAATCACTAGGAAATGAGAAATAGGAGGGAACTTATTTAATCTGATATACATATTATAAAATATATGAGGTAAACATATTAAATGATGAACTATTATAAACTTTCTGAGAGTAGAAACAAGACAAATATGCCTGTTAACACCGCTTCTATTTGACATTGTATAGAAGGTATAACAAGAGCTTTAAAAAACATTGGAAGTTAGACTCAAACAGCTGGGCATTAAGGAAAGAGAAGAGAAGTACATACACGTATCTCCATCCTCAATTTAGTATTTCCTCTACATTTTAAAATTTTGTTGTCTTCCTTCTGTGTGAGCAACATTCCAGAAAACTACAGAAATAAATTACAGCTCTTCAAAATTTGTGTGGCCTGCATCTGCAAGAAAAGAGATTATAGGTCTTCAAAGTTGTGTGGCCTACATCTGCAAAAAGGACTTCAAGCTCCTTTGCAATGAGGTATATTTCCTCTACCCTCTGAATTGTATGTAACCTTTCTATTCAGTAGCTGATGGTTAAAACTACTTTTTTCTCTTTTTTGCTTAATTTTTCCTTATCTTTGTTTTCCAAACACCTTCATTGCTCTGTTTTGTTTCCAGATTCTGATAGCAGATATCAATGTGTTACCCTGGGATAATCCAAAGAGATAGCATAGTATCTGTTTATCCAAACTCCACCTCACTTATCCAGTGTGTATAATAATAAACACTACCACTCTGGGACTGTACTTGAGTACCAGCCATATTCATGGAATCTCAGGGTCCTTCATACCTACATGATTCATTATTGTGCCACAGCTGTCTGAAGTTCTGTTGCTTCCTGACAGCTACAATGTCTGACTTAGTGAGAAATGTAAAAGTTCTTCCTCTGGTTACTTAATTTTCAACTCTGAGGAATGGGTTACTGATAAAATAATAAGCCTGCTATGGTAAGAAAATAATTCCCACTCCAGGGCGAGGAAAGCTTGCCAAGGGTGAACAAGTTAAGATGCAAATATGGCAGCAACCTAAAGAGTAAAAGGGTGCTAGAGGATGAAAAACAAAATATAGGAGAAAATAGCTTACTGGCTTAGGGAAAAAGAAATTCACAAACTCAAGAGCAGTGCCTACATTCTATGGGATTTCTAAGGAGAGAGGAAGAAAAGTCAAATCAGAGCTGACATCATCAGAAAGCAGCAGGTGGCAATCTTTCGGTACTCAATACCATCACAAGGTCACCCTTTAACCTACACTATTAGTTTTCCTTCACTGAGGTTGTTTAAAATTTGTATTTTGTTAAATGTTATTTGTCTAACAGTCACTTTCTTTTCTTTTTTTTAAATTATTAAAGTGTTGTTGATATACAATCTTATGTTGGCTTCAAATGTACATCACAGTGGTTCAACAGTCCCCATAATCAACTTATATTGTGATTGCAAATTACTGTGCCACTTTATCCCCTTCACCCTCCCCCTTGGTAACCACTAGTCTCTTCTCAGGGTCTATGAGTCTGCTGCTGTTTTGTTCCTTCTGTTTTGCTTTGTTTTTATAGTCCACAAATAAGTTAAATTAGATGGTATTTGTCTTTCTCCATCTGGCTTGTTTCACTGAGCATAATACCCTCTAGATCCATCCACGTTGTTGCAAATGGCAGGATTTCTTTTCTTTTTATGGCTGAATAATATTCGGTTGTATGTATATACTTTATCCATTCATCTATTGATGGACACTTAGGTTGCTTCCATAGCTTGGCTACTGCGAATAGTGTGGCAATAAACTTGGGGTGTGTGTGTGTCTTTTTTGTTTGTTTGCTTGTTTGTTTTCTATTGACATAAACCTTTATTTTTAATATACATTTTACTTGGAATTCTTGAGATTTATTAATAGGAAATTATAAAGACAATGAAGATCTAAGGGAAGACATACCAGATAAAATTAGGAAGTGATTTGTGGGCCATCAACATGCAGGTTTTTAAAATACCAATTAACACTAAAAATCATCACAGTGATTATGAAAGACATCTAAAGAAAAGTGACAAATGAGGTTCATAAGGCATTCAGATTTCAAAACATGATGGCATTAGAGTAGTAGAATAATAGGCTGCATGTAGAAAACCTGAAAAGGGGACTCTTAATGTGCCAAGAGTTGCTGGGTTCATATGATATGGTGGTAACATAAATACATGGTTTATTGGGAAGGATACATGGAAGATGGTGATTAAATGGAAAGATCTGTGGCTAATGATGGAAACACAAAAATTGTCTCTTGTAGGTAGCAGGATGCCCTAAATAGTTGTCCATTCAGCCCAGAATTCATAGACTTCCTTAGTGTGCAGGGTGGTGGGTGGAACTGGGGAAATTGGGAGTGGGGGCACTCTCAGATGCCTGCTTGGAATGTTACTCCAAATATGGTGTAAAAAACTATCAACCAAAGCACTTTGAAAAGAAATTGAAATAGGCCATTCACTCTGTTTTGTTATACCTAGACTCTTCCAGATCCTGAGCCCCACCTCTCTCCACAGATGATATGATTAAACAAACCCTAAGGGAAACAAAAGTGCTGAGCCTCAAGATTATATTAAATTATACAGCTGGTTCACAAGGATAGTCCAGAACATTAAACTTAAGCAATAATGGCAATATTTGTTGAAACCCATAGCAGTTTTATGAAAGAAGTGGCTTCCCAGAGAGCTACAATGTCTGACTTAGTGAGAAATGTAAAAGTTCTTCCTCTGGTTATTTTTTCCTGGATGCATCTTCTAGGGAAAGGGAAACAAAATAAAAAATAAGGGGGACTACATCATACTAAAAAGCTTCTGCACAGCAGAGAGATATTGAGGTCTATTTTGTAGCTGTAGAAATTATGTAAGGAATCCCCTTTATCTAGTGTAATTGAGGCCAGTAATTAATCAAAACAATTATTTAAAATGAGAACCACACTATTTTAATTTAAACACATAAATGTACTTTCGGTGTGTGTCTTTTTGAATCAGGGATCTTGTTTTCTTTGGGTAAATTCCTAGTAGTGGAATTACTGGGTCAAATGATATTTCTGTTTTTAATTTTTTGAGGAATCTCCATACTGCTTTCCACAGTGGTTGCACCGATTTACATTCCCACCAGCAGTGTCAGAGTTCCTTTTTCTCTGCATCCCTGCCAGATTTGCTGTTTTGTTTCTTTTGGATAGTGACCAGTCTAACCGGTGTGAGGTGATATCTCATTGTGATTTTAATTTGCATTTCCCTGATGATAAGGGATGTGGAACATCTTTTCATGTGCCCGTTGGCCATTTGTATTTCTTTGGAGAAGTGTCTGTTCAGGTCCTCTGCCCACTTTTTTTTTTTTTAACATTTAAAATAAAACTTTTTTTACCCCAATAAACAAAACAATGTACTAAAACTGACTTCCAGAATTGCCCAAATTATTTTTTTAAACATGATTTAAACTTTTTTTCTACATTACTTTAAACGTAAAGTTTTCTTTTCCAAATTTATCCCAAATACTAAATTTTCATTTTAGAAATTATTTATATTTTTATGAGGCCCTAAATTGATGTTCATCAAGATACCTTTCTCTAAGCCCTAATAGTTTATACCTTCCATTTAAAATACATAAGTATTTTTAAAGTTGTCATTCTCAAAGACAGTCTTGAAAAAATTATGAATTAAACACCTTTAAATTCTTCTTCACTTCTGTTAAAGTGTAGCAATTTATCATCTAATCCATACTGGTCTATCAGCTGAGTGAGGCTGAGTTTCTTG